GCTCTTGCTCAGGCTGGTTTCGAACTCCTGAGCTCAAACAATCCGCCCACCTCGGCCTCCCAGAGAGCTAGGATTACAGGTGTGAGCCACCACACCCGGCTGATACCAGGTCTTGATACCATACCAGAACCAACTCATTCTCTCCCTTTTTCTGTTTATGTTGGTGGTGGGGTTGGAGTAGGATTTATAAGCACTGTTATCACAGCTATATGAATGTAAAAAATTTTAAACATATTTTAGTATATAAGATTGGCATACAATGACATTAATTCCTTTTCAGAGATAGTCAAGGTAATTGTCATCTATGTAAAGACACTTTCAACTCAAATCATTATGAAAAGAAAGTTGTAATTACATCTAAAATGAATCTGATGCGAAAATGTTACATTTAAGTTGCACAGTGTAATTTATTAATGAAAGTTTTTTATTAGCTTTTCGAGAACGTTATCTTATAATTATTAGATAATTTAGGTAAATCTAAGTATGACATTCTGAATTCAGAAAAAGAATTGTTAAAATGTAAACCATTTCAATTTTTGCCCCACAATTAAAAACAATAAATAATATTGAGCCCATTTTAAGAGAATCTTTTCCAGATCCTGAAAACTACTTTCTCTTTAGTTGTGTTTACTTACTGATGTGTGAGAGGTAGTGAATGAACCTTAATCTTCAAAAGAAAACAGGAGACAGCCGCAACTGCAGACCTCTGGGGAGCTGGGTCTTCTTCTTTATTTCAAGGGTCAGCCAAGTGTTTAACTCAGCTAGTTTTGTTCTGTTTTGTTTTCCAATCTACTCGTTTCTAAAAAGCAATTCACATTTCCCCTAACAGGCTAATTTTCCAAGGTAGGAAACGCATTTACTTCTCATAAAGAATTTGATTTCAGCAGCTCACTGTTATGATTGTTAACCATTCCACAGGTTCATGTTTAGTTAGCTTGGCTCCGTGACATGGGCTCATTCGTAGTTCAGGAAACGCTGAACTACGCTGTGTGTGTCCGGTTAGGAGATGTATAAGCAGCTATAGCCACAAGAACAAGTTTGTCTTTACTTGGTGTGAGACTGTGATTTCGATACATGATGCATTTGTTTCCAAAAACTGTATTTTCACACACTAGTTTCCTTGTGGGTGGTTTAAGACCACCCAGAATCTGATGATGATAGTTATGGTTCAGGATAAAGCAAATAGGTATAAGAGCCTTCTTTAGTCTATGTGACTCAGTTTTAATCAAAGTCTTCCTATACACATCTCCCTAGAAGGAAACAGAACTGAGGTATTTGGGAGGATGAAGCCAGCCTATTTACTTACAGGAAAAGCTTTTCTCGAGGTTGTTTTTTAAGCAACATTTTAAATGTCAACATAAACAAACAAAGAAGGTTAGAAGAGATACGAGAGGACCTGGGTTCTAATTTCTCAGTCTATTGAAATCTCTTTTTTCCTTGGCAAAATGAGATAATTTGCCTCTCACAGGAGGGTTAATATGGTCATTATTATCACTTCAATTGATCAACATGTTTAATAAGACCATATCCTATTATTGAAAGTATTTCAGAAGCTTTTATTTCTAGATAATTTCCTTAGACCTAGAAGCATTTTTTTGCGTAAACTTACGTGATATGTCACCAATGCCAAATTTGTGGTAAGTTAGTGAAGGTTAATGCATGAAATTAAGGTTTTACTCACTTCCGGTAATGTTCAGTTGTCTGATACCCCCTCCCTCCCTGAGATCCAGGCCCTTTGTGATAAGGACAAGTCTAAAGCTCCACTGTGCTGAGAATATTTGCCCCATGAAGATCATGACTGTTCCAGGGAGATCATTGTAAGAGAACTCTCATTCCCAACTATTTCTAAATGTTCTTTAATAATTTAATAGAAGTTTTACATTCAAAGGCTAAGTTGGCAGGTAGAGAATGGCACTGATCATTAATTGTCTTTGTTCTTTGGTAAAAGGGATAAAGAATCCTAAAATCTTTACCTGCAAATGTATTAAAGGAGCACAACACAGAAGAGACAAGCTTTAAATGTTTGAATGAGGTTTAAAATCAGCAAAGGAATTGTTAATACGTCGTGATTGCTGTGGGTTACATGACATCTTTGCAAATATTGGGTGACTATGAGTCGTTAGGAGAACCTTCGTTTAACTCTTGCAGTACATGCGTACCTGGATATTTGAATACTGTTGAATGAGTTTCTTGTCCATATGTTATTAAATTCATGTATACTGTTAGTAAAAGTTATGCACGATAATTTTTTTACAATTACAATTTAGCAGGTTTAATTTGTGAGATACTGTTTTTAAAGCTTTCCTTCTGTTTCTGTTTTAGGAAGCTTAAAAAGGACGTGCTTCTTTCTGCAGTAAAAACGTGTGTCTGGAGCCCAAAGGACCCCCCTCCGTTAGGCTGGTGGACTAAGCACTGTCTGCACCGTGCACAGCTCCTGGGGAAAAAATAAATCTGAACCAAACTGATGGCATTTTCAGCCTTTCAACCAGTTGCTTCTGTGCCAGGCCAGCTGTAAGTTGAAACCTCGGTGAATAATAAGAAGACTCCAGGCAGACTCATGATACTTTGTGTCTTTTCTATACTAGACCCTTCTCTGCTAGAAGAGTGACTTCAAAGGCTGAGGGGTTGAATTTGCAGCCTACAAGATTGCGGACCTATAACAAGAAACAGAAATGCGTTCGTGCTTATTTTCATGGTGAATGTGGTTTTGTGACACTGAAGACCCAGAGTATAAATATTCACTTACATTTTCCTTCCAGAGAAGTTTCATATAGCCTATGAAATGTCAAATTCATGACCTTAGTTTTTATGTAGAATGGGTTTGAAAGTGAGTGTTTCTATGCAAGAAGGTCACTTTTTCATCATCTGAACTGATTAGTTTAGGTGGTTAGAACTGACTTCATATTGCCTGCCTAAACCTTGGATGAAGTTAACTGACCTAAGTAGGAATCAGAGGAGGACAACTCCGTTCCAGAAGCCCCTCTCTACCCTCAGCCTCTGTCTCATGAACACCTGCCGGTGCTGCCAGTGAGACGGGCCCGGCTTAGGGAACGTTGTCGGGAAAGGGAGGCCCATCGCCCTGAGTTAAAAACCACTTAAGGCACGTATCATAGAGACTTGTAGGCAAAGGTTAGCATATTTATGTGAAAATTAGTTAATACAGAAACATTTGTTACAACTGTCCCTGTGCCTGAGCTTAGAAGAGCCAGAATTTCTTATATAGAAAAGTGGTATTTATGAACATAATGATCTTTTATTTGCATTGTATCTTATACTAAAGGCTTTAGAAATTAGAGCATATCAGGTCCCCTACTAATGAAGCAGTCTTAGTGAGAAGACACTACCTATTAGAACCAGGAGAAAACGCACAATTTGGGGAGAGGGGTTCAGGTGAACAGCCAGTAACTGCCATGGTGTAGTTTGACCGTGACATTTGTATTGTTCCCTCCAGTCTTGTCAGATTAGTTAGCACATGATCTCCTATTTTTTAGCCAGTAATGTTGGATTTAGGAGAACGGTGCTTCTGTTAAGGTGCTCGGTCACCTACCACTTTGGTAATTTACGCGCTAGAATTGTCTCTAGGGCTAAGAAATTAACCCAGTTCAGTCATGAAGCAGGCAATGGCTCGTTTGCTCTTAATCTTCATGCCCTGGAGAGGACTTAATTGAGCAGGATTTTTTTTTTTTTTTCCTCCTGCTTGAACCTACATGATCAGATCTGGCTCTTGTCTTTTAACTGTTTATTGTTAGCTCTGTCATCTTTATATTAATACTTAAAAAAGAAATAGACTTTTGGACATCAGTATATTAGAGTGCACTAAGATATTTTGTTTTGGAATTGCCCCACCCAAATTAATGTCATTTACCTAACATTTAAACTGAATACTGAAATTAACCGATATTTCCTAGGATATTTTTATTTTCTCTCTATTCATGGTTTTAAGTTCTGGTATGTGGATACTAGCTTGCCTGTGCCTGGCACTTCTTATGACCTCAGTTTCCTTACCTGAAACAGGAAACTGGCGTGTCTCATGGCAACCCACGATCCTTCATATCTACCTAGTGCCCAGTAATCGAATGACTTTTTCTTTTTTCTTTTCCTTTTTTTTTTTTTTTTAGCATAAACCAATGGTTCCTAAACTTTGGTAGTCACCAAGTCTTATGAGAATTGCCTTTAGGACACTCATGTAAAATATTTAGGATTTGACCACAAGACAGCTATGAAAATATAAGTAGAGTTTCCTCAAGTGACTTCACTGTAATTCACATATGTGCCATTGTTTGCAATCTGATCACTTCTGTTATGACAGAGGGATGATCAAAGTGGGTCAGGGTTGTGTTCCTTTGTGTAACCTGAATATACTTTCCATATGTAGAGCCCTGATTAACTTCAAAGACGGACACTTGCTAGAGAAAAAGCCAGACTGATGGGAATGAGACTGTGGCCCCAAATCCTGAAACATCACTTTTGATCTGTAGAGAAATGCTTAGGGTTGAAAATTGATTTCATTTGATACTGCATTCGAAAAATCCTGGGTTACTTGTATCAAGACTGAAGACATTTTACCACCACCTACTCTAGAAACACACAACAGTGTTATATTTTACATTCTTTGTAAATATTTGAGGCAGAAAATTCAATTTGCATTTCACATTGTTGGAATATCCAACAACACTCAATAAACTCAGCTGCCAGAGCTCTGGTGTCAGGAAATCTGCGTGAGTAATACGCACGGCCCAGCGGGCATAAAATAATCACTGTGGCTTTTCACGCTGAAGAAGCTCATTGACAAGAATAAGACAAGAATTTCAAGAGCAACCAAGTCATGGGTTTTCTAACGTGTATATGGAATATATTTTTTAAATATACATTTTTCTACCTTAGATAAAGTGTTAATTTTGTTATTAAAAAAAGGAAAGGAAAAATATCCATTATTACTTTAAGATAGCTTGAATCAATTTAGATGTCATCATTACCATTTCGCATACTGGAATTTATAAATTTGTAAATTATCATTTTCCTATACAAATAGTTTTGTAATGCCTTTTTTTATTTGTGAATAAAATTGTTAACTGGTATTCTTATTTACCTGTCCAGTAAGAAAATGAGTGATTTTGTGGATGCAGATACGTTTTTGTTCTTGCCAGAAGTCCAGGTGAGGGTCGTGCAAAGCTCTGCTCTTGGGGTTAGAACCTCGAGGTCCCCTCAGGCTTTCTGAGGGTCACTTGAAATCTGTCCTAGTGGCCTAATCATGTTTCTCAGGCATGTCAAGCTACTGAAAGGTACTCCACGGGACCCTGAGACACTTCGGTATCAAGATTTTATCATGATCTCTTCATTTTTTTCTCCTTCATTTTACGACACAAAGAGAGAAGGAACTAAAGAAAAAGAAGTTTCGTATTTCTTCTTTTTGGAGGTCGGCGGGGTGTCCTCCCATGGAGGAGAGGGCTGGAGCGAGGAAGGAAGGAAGGAACTTCCACAGAGCAACAACGGCTACGTGATTTTCTTTTTTCTTCTTTCTCAATCTCTTCCTTCCTTCCCCTCTGTAAGGCTTTTAAGGCTATTCTTAGATTTTGAGAGAGGGCTTTCAACTTCCCGGAAAAAAACATTTTTGAACGTTAAGTGACACCATGCTTTCTCAGTGGGTGGGTCTCTGCTGTTAAATGACACTGGATTCTCCGAGGGAAGGAGAGTGACTTCTCTCCCCCTTCACCACACCTCCGCCCACGCCCCAGCCCCTCAGTTCACGTGCACTTTCCTGGTGTCCGTGGAGACGGTTGAGCTCCTGTGTACCATAAATCCATCAACTCTCTGTGAAAAACGACTGAAAGCTTATGAGCTTCTCACAGATCTGGAGTATTCTGTAGTAATATCAACAGCATTTTATATTTTCATTATATTTTATGTGGTTATATTTTCATTATAACCACTATTAAGATATCTGTGCAATTGGCTACTTATTCTGAATTTGTCCCATTTTAACCTGAGAAGGTACTGTCTGATTTCTTAAAAACAAATTTGGCCCCCAATGAGGTATGTAAATACAGCTTAAATTTATCATTCAGTCATCTGGAAACTAAACAGGGGCCTGAAAATTTCCAAAATCTTGTTATCAAACAAACTTCAATAAGACCTGGTATGTGGTGTAGACACGCAGTTATGCCGAATCAAGGCAACAGTGGGCAGTAGTGTCAGCTATGTACATTTCAGCCAAAGCAGGGTCGAGAGCTTTCTGCTCCCGAGATGGAGCAGGCCAGCGTCGTGTCATTTCATAAACCACCAGTGGCACCTGAATTGATGTGATTTGTGGCTGCTTCCAAATTAGCCTCTCTAGAAGACTTGAATTTTCAAAATTTACTAGCAAAACGCTTTTTCTAGAACCATGGGTGGTCTTCTGAAGCAGGTTTCATTTATTAGTCCATAAAGACAGAGGATTCTTTTTTCTTAATTTCTAATGGCATCAGCTGTTCCTACTTAAGACAGGAATAGCTGTGTTCTGTTAGTCTTGTTTAGGGTGGAATTTAACTAGCAGAACTATGCAGAGGGATTTTCCTTACCTGGGTTAATTATTTACAGTAAATAGAAGATCTACAGAACACTCTGCTGGCAATCTTTTAATAGCGGCTTACAAGAGGCGGGCTGCCCCCCAGAGAGGTACACGTCACCACCTCTGTAGATCAGATACGAATCTTGCCCTCGAAGTGCTCACTCTAACAGAAGGCCATTTCCTATGTCGGTCCTTAATTTATTCATTCAACATGCATTTATAGGAGGTTAGAGTAGCTGCTGCGTTCTAGCTGCACTGCCAGGGCTGCAGCAGGGACTAAGAAATACGAGGGAGACAAGCCTTTTAAGTCCCTATAAAATAGGTCTTAATTGTAAAGATGTAAGTGCAGATTCTTTGGGGAACAATCAGGAAGGAAGCTGGGAGGGAAACATCCTCTGAGCTCAGCTCCCATGGCGTTCACCCAGCAAGTGGAGGGAAGGAGGGAGATAGAGCCGCAGGTGGAGGGCCCAGCCTGTTCTGGGAGTGGGAGGACTGTGGTGTGGCTGGAGCACGAGGACAGGGGTGACAGGGCTGGGGGGGGGTTCCAGCCCAACAAGCGTCCAGTGTCCCCTGCCCTGTAGGGGATTGACCTTCCTCTAAGTGAAGGGGTAGCCTGACATGAAAAATCTGAAACCTCTAGCCTCCCGGAACCTTGGGCGTTACAGAAGGAGGTGCGTGAGGCTGCCTCCCTGCAGCAGCGCGTCCCCAGTAGCCGAGAGGAACCGGCCCGCGTCCAGGGGTTGAGGCGGACAGTGTCCTGTTTGGAGATGCTGGGCCTGAGCTCGTTCCCTGGTCATCCACTCACCTTGGCCAGCTCCGATTTCCAGCAGGACGGGGCTGAGCATCAGGTCTGCGTTTAGGACTCAGCTGAGCGCCTGCTGACATCAGACCAGCCTCCATGGAGGCCTTGAGAAGACGAGAGACGAGGAGGACAGTGCACTGCGCCCCTGCGGCCACCCCGTCCTGCCCCGTGGGCACACACGGCCTTTCCTCCTGGGCCTGGGACTCGGCCTGGTAGTCCTGCTCAACCCAGAGCCCTCAGCCTGAGGCTGAGCTGATCTTCCAGGTCCCTCATTTCTAAATCTTAGCCACCCTCTTCCCCTGAAAGCAAAAATCTTACCCGATTGTTTTTACCCCACCCCTACCCTTACCTTAGAAACCTGCTGCCTTTGCCTGTTGTGCTCATGTGGCCAGCAGCCTCCCCACGGGACTCTGTGGCCTTGGGCTGGGGAGTCAGGAAGCCTGTGCCCAGGGCCTCTGCTTCCCCCTC